CTCTCTGATTGTCATGGAAAGCAGCAGGCTGCTCTTAGCTGACCAAGCACAGTACCTGAGGGCTGAATCTGTGAATGTCATCTGAAGCACTGATTAGCTCGATCGAGGACAAGGAAGAAGAGTGGCTATAGGGCTGTACAGCGGAGAGAGGGTTGAAAAAGAAAGGAATAAACAACAAAAACTGAAAAAGACACCACGGCAGCAGAGCAGAGGAGAACAACCACAACCTGCTAAAGTAGGATTTCATATGAAGCCATCATGTTAGCTCTTGAAAAACACTGCAGTGGGCACAAAATGATTGCCCCACAGTTAAGACGTTAAACAGTTAAGATGACACATGGCCACATCATGAGTAATTTTTCAGGAGTCAGCACCAAGTAGGCAGCTCACACCGGCTGTAAGCTGCCTTTGATTTTTACAGGAATGATTAGGCAAAGAAAAGAGCAGCAACTTGTAGCCTTAAATTACAACACAGTGGGATAGGAATAGGGTGAAAGGTATAGTGACAATAAAAATATGCTGCGCACCTTGTTGGCAAATCTGTGTGTACCGATGGTGGAGTAGGCATCACTAGGGGAAGCCATAGTTAGTCGAGGTTTTCTGACCTTCTCTGACTGGCACTGAGGGAAACAGTAAACAGAAATAGACACTTGTTTATAGATTAATTTATTGGAGATTCATGTTTTTGAAACATGTCCTGACTTTGCGAGGCCCATTTAGGTCTTCATCACACCTGCTCCTCTATCTTGTCTTGTCTGTCCAGTGCAGCTTCCACTGCATCAAAGAACTCCTCTTCATTGATCAGACTGTTGGGCCCCTCCTGTGAACAAACAATAACAAGCACACAATGTCAGAATTTGTGATTCCTGTGAGAAAAGCCTCACCCAAGATTAAAAACAACAGGGATGTGCAACATCAGGAAATCTTCCTACTGTCGTCATCTAGTTTTTATCTAATCCATTCAGCTTATCTGATTTCATTGTACCTCGTAGTCTGGGCCTCCATAGTGTGACTTTTTCTTTAGTTCATTCACAGCAGACTTGTAGGCATCTTCTACTTTCCTCCTCTTTTCCAGCTCCTACACACACACACACGCACGCACACGCACACACAGGATGCTGTTATGGTTAGTTCAGCTGTATTAAAACTTTGAATAAAAACGTAGAGCGTGTAAACACAGAAACCCATTGAACCAGCACTGTAGCCCTAGCCTTTTCTTGACGTCATCCAGCAGAAGGGCATGTGACAACACAACCGTCCACTGCAGTCCGATTCTACTTTAAACAGTTTTTAACCTGGTAAAAAAAAAA